GTTGCGCACAAGCTGTTGCAAATTTCTAAAGTGAACTATCGCCACGCATCTGGTGTCATAACTCATGAAGATTATTTAAAAACATCTCATTGTCAAATATCAATCAATTCAATGTATTCAATGTACAACTCTTCATTTAGAAAAAAATCCATGTCATTGTCATGTCAATTGCTTTAAAAATCATGATTGAATGACCAGTTTTGTCGCTTATTTATTTACAACATGACCTGAAGTTGAGCCCCGTTTCTCTTTTGGTCACTTTAAGAATATTACTTTTAACCGCCATGCGATACCTGCCTGTATGTGTTTTGTTTTATGTTTGATTGTTGACTAATCATTGTAGTAATTTCAAGCTTTTTTAATTATTTCTAATTGCATTATAAATATTTAATTGTTCTTATTGCATGCATCTCATTTTGTTTGTCATGTATGTATTTATTCTCGGCGTCATTGTGAAGGAGAGTCGCCCTCAATGATCTCTCCGAGAACGTCAATAAAGGTTGAAGATGATTTTAAAGGGACAGTGGAGCTCAGGCTAATTTCCATCTGTAGTCCCTTTGCAGGTTGGTGGTTCAGATGTATTCACATTTACATAAAAAACCACAACGACGAGCACAAACCAAACAACAACATAGACTGAACGTTAGCTGACACATATGTACGAGTATAAAAAGTGGCTGTGCAGGTTGTTCTGAACAAACCAGGAGAAAGTGACCCTCAGAGTTAAAGAGCTTAATATCATGGTGGCTCTCCTACCTGCTGGTGTCCTCTCAGTTGTTTCTCTCTGCTCTCAGGAGGGCAGGAGTGTGTGAGCTTTGTGTGTGTGTGTGTGTGTGTGTGTGTGTGTGTTAACAGCAGATCCTCTTCCTCTGTTTTGCAGGAAGAAGAACTCATAAAAAAACAATCATCAGGAGTTGAAGGAAACCTTTGCACCTTGGACACCGTCGCTTCCACTGATAAAAAGAACACAAGGGGAGATATGGAAACGTTTAATTGTCGCTGCTGCTGGAGTGATAATTGAGATTCTGTACAATAATACTAAAAGGTCATTTTATTCAGCTTACATGACCAAAAGTTTAAGGACTCATTGTGCATTATAATTCTCTTGGGGTTAAGTGTCTTGCCCAAGGACACATCGGACATGTAGCTGCAGGAGCTGGGGATTGAACTCCTAACTTTCTGGGTTGGAAGACGACTGAGTCACAGCTGCCCCTAAACGTTTAACCTTTCAGCTAATTTTTCTTTTGTGCTGACAGAGTTAGAGGGGGAAAGGGGGATCATCTGAAATATGTAAGGAAGCAGACAAACAATAACTACGGCTCCCTTTGAAATGCAGCCGAGTAGAAATATAAAGAAATATAGAATTGCATCACTTTCAATTCTATATCAATTCTATGTGAAAGCATCACATCACTTTCACTTTAATAGGCTTAATGCATGTAGTAAATGTCTATATTTTAAGTCATGCTTTAAACATGTTAGTGTGATTTATGAGCTTTTTAAAGAGGGAGGTTAAAATCTATTTATGTTTTTATTAACAGGATGTTCCGCCAGCATTTTTTGATCGTACTCCAGATTGATAATCTTCATCGATAAGATGATGAGGTCGCATGAAGGCCGAGATGCTGCAGCTGATGAAAGGTCGACACTTTTTATCTCTCCGTTTATCGTGTTCAAAGTCTTCACAGTGTCATACAAAAAGTGAACACACACACCAAGGAAACATCAGAAAGGCCTCTGGAAGAATATTCTAGCTGCAGGTAGAAATCACTGCAAGTCTAGAATCTGTCCCCACATCTGCCCTGATTGGTCCTACATTGAACTTGGTGTGAAAAACATTTATAAAAGCGAACACTTTCATTGTGTTTACATTTTGGGGTTTTAAGGTCAGAGAGTAGTTATCAGCGGGTTCTGCAGATTGTTTCTGTTACTTCATGCTAACGTGAGGAGAAGATAAGATGAGGAGGAATGCTCATAGGGTCAAAGAAAGTGGGAGAGGAAGATGCCGTATGGCTGACCAAAAAAAACTTAAACGTACAATTTTTCAAAATAAGAGCGAAAGAGGAAGAACAGAAGAGTGGAAGTAGTAGTAATTTTTTTTTTTAAATGCACCGAGCTTAGCTTTTAAAATAGCTCAGTTACAACTACAACACACTGAAAAACACTTTTATCTGAATGGCCTCTTTAGATGATGGTTTATCAAAACTGTCTCGACTCCCAGCTTCATGCATTCACTGAGCACAGCACAACATCTCCTGGCCTGCGTCTCGAGTGTGAGTGCTTTGGTTCTGGGGTGCGATCTGCAGGTAAAGGTTCATTAGGAGAAGCTTTGAATGGTCACCTGGTGGGATTAGCAGAGGAAGTAGTTTGGGGCCAGGCGGAGCATGGATCCCCCTGAGAGAGAGGGAGAGAGAGAGAGAGAGAGAGAGAGAGAGAAAACAGCTGAAGCCAGGAACACCACTAATGCACAATCTGCTCACATGTGGTCATTAGCACCTTAAACTGCACGCAGGTGTGACAGCTTCTCCGCAGCCAGCGAGGCTCAACCTGCCTCTGGAGCTCTCTGCAGCCCTGCACCAGCAGATCCAGCTTCCCAGGAGATCTGCACAGTTAACACTTTGACTGTTTTTTTTCCTCTCTATGGATTATTTATTTCTATTAGATCTCACGCTCTAGATAAAAACACACTTTCCCAGGCCCTTCTTCTTCTTCATGACCTTGACGCATTGGAAGTGTGTAAGCCTACCTGTTAGGACCGGAGGTGACTTATCCTGAACTTTCACCCTGCATGGATTTATGATCAGAAAGTGATAACTAAGCAGACTGGATGTAACCTTTGGAGTTAACAGATTGAACACAGGTTGATAAAATATAATCAGGGACTTAAATCACACACTAATCTTCCTTAATTATATCAGATAAGGGTTTTTTATGTCTGACATTATTTTGGACTGATGATTTGCTTACTTTTGTTGGGTTAAAACTGAATGGAGCAGGGTACACACAACAAGATAATCTGCCCGACTGTCTGCTCGGAATAATAAATATAAATATAATAATAAATATTAAACATGTTCAATATTTACGATTATAAATCCTGCTGTGTGTGTGTGTGTGTGTGTGTGTGTGTGTGTGTGTGTGTGTGTGTGTGTGTGTGTGTGTGTGGGGAGGGGGGGAGGGAGCACGGACTCTGTGGATTGTCACGTGGAACGGAACAACAGCCAATAGGGAAGCAAGCTGACTGAAGCAGGAAGCACAACAAACATCACCATGGCGACAGCAGCACTCGCGAAGCATAAAGTTAAATGGATGTCATCCATTCAGGACCAACTTGTTGAATCCAAATGACAAAGAAAGGAGTTGGACCGAAATGTTTACCGTCGAGGATGTTGCCTCCCAGCTGCCCATCATGTTAGTTCACTCTGAAGTCGCGTCTGAAGTCGCGAGATTACACGTGTTGATGGTCGAGACTCTGGTTGTTGGTGAATTTATCTGTGTGTGGTGCTTAATTGATTTTTTTTTAAAGCGTTTTAAAATACTGAGTGAGTTTCTTAATTGAAAACCTCCCTCTCTAAATAGAAATGAGGATCTCACAATAATCATTCAATCGGCTACATATCAAAATAAAGACTTAATACCTTAAAAAAGTTTTTCTTCTCCTTGTGCTTTTAGTTTCGTTAGTTGCTTAGTTGATGAAATTTGTTTTTTATTTGTATTTTTTTTTCTCTGTAGCACTTTGAGATTTTTTTTCAAAAATGTAAAGAGCGTTACAAATTAAATGTATTATTATTATTAGTAGTAGTATTAAAAATGTGTTTCTTACTCCTGGGGACCCACTGCCAAGTTTGAGATGTTTCCTCTCCCAACACACCTGATCCAAATGAACTGGTCTTTATCAGGACCAGGGTTTAAAAAAAACTGCCTTAAAATAATGTGATATTTTTTTCAAGATATTGAGATTGAGAGTATCTAAATAAGTAGTAATTTCCAGCAAATATTGAGTAAGTACAAAAGAAATATCAGAAAACTTTTGAAAATTATTTTTGGAAAAGTGTTTCCCAAAGTGCGGGTCAGGGCCCCCTGGAGGGTCGTGAAACATCGAGATGGGGGGGTCACGAGATATTTTCCAAAAACACACAAACATTTTTAAAAGATTTAAAATTGCATATTTTACCCATTATTGTAAACAGATATTTAAAATATATCTAGTTCAATTTAAAATAAAATCAAAGTGTTTAAGCAAGCTTTATGTAAGTGTTTATTTTATATCCTTAATCGTGAGTTTGCATATGAAAGCGACAATGTAGATGTCTGCTGCTCTTTACATCTAAAAACACACTCACACACCTTGTTAAAAATTGTTAAATAATGAGAAGCTTTCTCATAATAACGAGTAAATATCTCAAAATGGTAAATGGACTTGAGCTTGTAAAGCGCTTTTCTAGTCTTCTGACTATTCAAAATGCTTTCACGCCGCATGTCACACCTACACACTCACAGTGAAGGCAGAGGTTGCTGAGTAAAGTGAGCACCAGAAGGAACTAATCCCATTCATACCCATTTAAACTCTTTTATTAAATGACTTGTAGGATACATTTTTTTCCACCACAATGCAAAAACTGGCCGTCAATAGAAACGAGAATCATGAGAACAAAACAAGCACTAAACATCATGAGACCTTGATGCATTGAGACAGATCTAATTATCATCAACCGTAAGAGGATAATGTGCTTAGAAAAGACGTCCTTTGGACTGCAGGCCAACTGCTTCATTGAGAGTAAAAATCTCATTAAAGACACCCTGTATTGATGACCTACTCGCATGGAAGATTATTTTTTAAAAACATGCCCCTTTTACCTCCCACTCTCCTACATTTATTTACATTTTCTCCACCCTAACAATTCATGGCGCATCATCAGGGTAGTTGGGTATTTAAACCCCTGTAACATGGATCAACTAATAAGATGAGAGCGATGTCAAGGGCGGAGCGTTCTCCCAGCATGGGGCCCGTACTGATGCTCCTCTTCACACTTGTGTTCGCGGCTTCAACTGTCAACAACAACAGCATCAACGGGTCTCAAAATCAGAAGCTGGTCATCGGTTTCCAGGCTCCATGGAATGTGTCCTATCCCTTCAGCGCCATGCGGCTCGGCTCGGCCATACAGATAGCCGTGGAGAAGGTGAATACAAATCCCTCCTTCCTCGGAAACTACAGTCTGGATTTCGTATACACGGACACAGACTGTAATCCCAAAGCTTCCCTGGGAGGGTTCATCCAGCAGGTGTGGAAAGAAAAGGTTTCCGCACTAATTGGTCCAGCATGTCCTGAGGAAGCAGAGGTAAGATTTGTGTGATGTGTATTAATAACAAAAATGTACAATTCATGCGTAAAGACTTGCTGTTTGTTTGGAGTTCCACAGGTGTCTGTCTTTGGTTCTCTTCAAATCATAAAAAGATTATTTACCAGCCATGGCAAAGCATTTTAAAATGTAAGCAGTCAATAATTACACTTGCTTGCATATTGTGATCATTTGCAAAACATTGAAATTCCATATTTAATTACAAATAGCACAAAGACAACATACCAAATGTTGAGAACTGAGAAATTCCATTAATTTAGGAAAATGTCAAAGCATTTTAAATGTGATGCCAGAAACACATTTCAAAAAAGTTGTAAAATGTTACAAAAAAGGGTTAACTTGCCACAGGTAAGTTTCATGATTTGGTAAAGCGCATTGGATAGAGTCAAAGTCTTCATGCCTATTCAGACTGATGGTAAAAGGCACAATATCTTTAATATGAATGTTGCAGAGGCGTAATGGGGGGACAAAGTGATCCCCCCCTCTGTGTCTGCTTTGGAGCGAGTAACAGAGGGGTTACAGGGGGGGGGATGGAATGGGTGGTGCCAGTGGGGAAGAACAGCTTTGTGTAAATGTCTGAGTGTGTGTGTGTGTGTGTGTGTGTGTGTGTGTGTGGAGCTCTGGCTCTGCCATGCTTCTGGAACGCCATAACGCAAATAATTTACAAACTGGGACACCATTATTACCCCGTTGCGGGATCAACATGAGGGTCTGAAGGTGTAATGACGGCAGAGCTTAGTAATGGAGCTGTTGCGCAATTGCACAATGAAAAGGGCTTTACTGAAGTAAAGATGGGGAGGGGTTTACCAACCTGTGAGAGACGGTGCTGGAAAAGAGTGCAGGTCTTTAAGAATGATTTTTTAAACATAAAGATGCAAGACTATCCCAACTTTTCTGAAACATGTTGGTATTGAATTCAAAATGAACAATGACATTACTCACGATCAGTTTAACTTTTGAAATCTTGTCTTTCAGTCAAATTTGGTTTTCAAGGTTTTGCAAATACCCCGCTCAGTATTAGTTTACATTTTACACAACGTCCCAACTTTATAGTAAATTGGATTGTTTGTCAGCATATTGATACACCTAGCTAAACCTGAGGATGTTACATTTGAGTCGTGTTTCATCTGATTTTAAATCTCACAAAATGTGCATCCCAAGGTGATTACAGGTAAGATGTTGAGGTTGGTATAATGTAGACCCAAAAGCAGACACGGCAGCTAAATTGAAAGTTCAATGAGGTTTATCGCAGGCGTTGGTTCATGAGGGCTGACTGGTTGAGGCAGACATAAAATGCTTAGAATAGTTTGTTGGTGGAACAAAATCTGGACAAAAGTTAAAGGGGGAGAGACACAAGGGAACCAGGAATACACAGGGGGAATAGGCTTACAGTCCGAGCAGTGACATAGTGTTGTTTGCATGCATGACTTCAATTAATGTTCTTTAGACATTTTTTTCTTTTGGGGGAAATAAATTGAACTTGCATTCCAGGTCACTGGTCTCATTGCATCCACATGGAATATCCCCATGTTCGGCTTTGTGGGACAATCCTCCAAGATGGACAACAGCAACATCTACGATTCCTACATCAAAATTGTGCCTCCCCTGAAAAGAAGCTCGGAGGTCCTCATCAAGACCCTGGAGTTCTTCGGCTGGAGTCACGTAGCAATGATCGGAGGTGGTTTAGATTCCAACACTTGGGACAAAGTTGACGCGTTGTGGAAAACTGTTGAGACTCCACTGAGAGAAAGGTTACATTTGGTTGCTTCTGTAAAGTTTGATACCAGCAATCGTGAGCTTGTTTATCTAAATGTTAAGTACATCTCAACAGTCACCAGAGGTAAGGAAGAACTAACCCTTCTATGCGCCTTAGTACCATATTTTTTCAATGGTGTTGCTGCTGTTTCTGTACTTGCTAAATGTTTCCTGTCATGCTTCAGTCATTGTGGTGCTAACAAACAGGGATGACTCCATGGCTCTGTTGCTGGAAGCTGAGCAACAGGGCATGATGAACGGAGACTATGTTTTCTTCTTGGTGCAACATTTTGAGGTCAGTGGCCCTGTGGTGAGTAAAAAAACTTTAAAACACATTAACAGTCACAGACATGGTGGAAACATGGTGTTGAAAAACACAAATCACTTGGGAGTGGGGGCATTTTTTTAAAGCAGGTTGGGAAGACCCAAGAGAGATGAGCTGTGAGTTGTATTTTCAAGAGATGAAATGGTTGCTTTAAGGGAAGTTCCACGCTGGAACTAACAGACAACAGTTGGGTGGAAACACGTTCTCGCCATAGACTCTATAAAACATAGACATAGTCTCTGTGATGTCATCCATTGATTAAGGCAGAGGCATTCAAAGCTGAAGCCCTGATATTTCTTCTGCTGCTGTTACCCACACCTGGTATGTCCAAACTGTTGGACATTTCTTTTCAATTTTGAGATTTTTCTCTGATTTCTGGGTAGGTCTTTAAACTAGAGCTCAGGAAAGCGGGACACCATTTGTTGTGGTCTGATCTGCCTCAGATAATGCTGCCCCAGTATGTGATTTCCCTCATTCTGGCGTTCTGCGAGCAACACTGGTGTGACGTGTAAACAAACACAGCTGTGTTACACAAACATCCCATTTATATTAAAAAAAAATCCATTTAACACTGTTGCAATTAAACCATTTCACCCCACCATTGGCCTTGGCACCTTTCATGCCAAACAACGAGGGGTAATAACAACATTACAATCCCACCTTGAATAGGCGGGGGGGTAAAAAGGGGAACTGTTGAAAAGTCCATTGATGCAAGACAGAAGCTGACAAAAGCAGGCTCCTCAATTGTAGCTGGGGACAGTTTAATTTGTCAGCTGGAATGACAACTGTTGCTGGCAGATTTCATCAGCTGTCACCAGGAAGCTTGTAAACATTAGCTCCATGAGCCTGTTGAAAACATAATTTCCAGCCAACTCGTTTTGTCGTTCCCAGTTTTTAAGGATCTTAGATTTGCCCTAATAGGCTTGATATTTTACAAGGTCTTGTCCCAGCACCCTCATCAGCTAATCCATGTAGAAGTTGTCGAAACAAATACAAAAGTATAGCAGTTAGTTTTGTTATTGGAAGTTAATGGAGGAAAAATATGACAAAGAAGCCTTTGGATAGACAGTCTATAATCAGATGCTTGACTACATATGATAAACTTTTTTCATCCCAATTCATATCATCAAACTATGCATTTCAAATCTTTCATCAAATGTTCCAACTTATTATCCTTCAATACTTCTTTACTGAGTCTTTTCTATGTTTATGTCTTTCCTGAGCAGGATAACTTGTGGAAATATTCCCTGAACAACCGGATTAACCAGGCTGCTATGAAAGCTTTTGACATGGTCTTCATTATTGGCCAGAAATCCTACGAAGGCTACGAGTATTACGACTTCTTTGAGCGGGTTTATGAAAAACTAAAAGGACACCCATTTCGGAGCAATTTGACTTCTAAAAAAGAGGTTAGCACTTGTGATTGCGACAAAGATCCTATGCATAAATGTATTATTATGGTTTGGAATAACTCAACGGAATCATTTTATTTTGGGATTTCAGGTTAGCCCTTACTCGGCCTACGTGCATGATGCGGTGCTTCTTTATGCGATGGGACTGAAGGAAGTCCTCAAAGATGGCAAAGACCCTTATGATGGACGGCAGCTGCTACAGAGATTAAAAAACAGAAACGGCATTCGATTTTATGGTCGGTTTCAATAAATGTTTATCATTGGGAAATGTAAGAGAACTTGGTCACAAATTAGGTCAATGGGTGAGAATTATCTGGGACGTTTTGGTTTGTATTGCTGTGTTTATTATGTTTATCTTTAACAGTCCTTAACTCAATTGAATTATGGATTCATTACACCTTATCCCTTAGAACAAACATTACACCAAAAAGCCAGGCTACACATATCTGTTGACAGCTGGATGCAGTAGTGTTTTATCATTGCAGGTGCCTCTGGACTAGTCCACTTTGACGAGGAGGGGGAGAGGAATTTGGACTATTCAATTTACGACCTGCAGCATTTAGGAGATTCTACTAAATTTGTGCCCATTCTCCATTATAACAGTCACACTAAAACTGTCAGGTGAGAAACACTTAAACACAGTCAGAAAATCTGACTTTAGTTAATATACCTTTCATAGGTAAAACAAACAAATGTCATTTCAGTCCGACGTCCATGTTTACTTCTGTGGTCTGGCCGAAGGGAAGACCTCCGTCTGATAATCCAGAATGTGGTTTCAACAATGAACTCTGTGAATGGATCACTAATGGTAAAGAAACACTTATACCCTTATACAACAACTTTAAACACCAACTATCTCAGTTTCTACATTTTCGTCAGACCTTTTGCACTCATAAATCATTATTCGTATCTTTTTAACCACTCGTCCAAATCAGGCTAACCACTCTCATAATTTTTGGTCTTGTCTGGATACAGATATCTTTCTGCTGGCTCTGCTTGTGACCTTTCCTGTCATTGGCGTGCTGTCAGTTTTTTGCATTGGCGTCCTAATTCTGCAGAAGTTACGACTGCAGACGAGGCTCGATGACTCCTGCTGGTGGTTGATCAACTACAGCGACATCACAATCATCAGGGAGCACTCAGTATGAGCACTAAAACATCTCTTGTCCTATTGGTAAAATATAAAAAGTGCATCTGTATATGAGCCTGGTGTGTGTTTACGCTCTTGTTCAGTGTATATTTTCGTCCTTCAGGGAGGTCATTCTTTATCTGTAGTCACCACAGCAAGTCAAAGTGTAAGCAGCGGCTCCCAGTCCACTTTCTCCAACAGCAGCTTTGGCCTGAGGGATAACACGGGCAAAGAACATGTCTACACCACCATAGGTCTTTTCCAGGTATAAGTTTTGAGTTTGAACTTTGTGACCTTTGCTGAACAGCAACTATTGGTGGCAAAACAAATGAATAGTTAAATAAGTCTTGTAGACTTTGTCCACTGCAATGAAGTGGAATTGAAGTAGAAGCAATTTAATTTGCAAAATGGCTCAATTGTGTCCCCTTCAAATGCCAAGAAGTTCATTTCAGCAAGCTGTCCAAAAATGTTTTAGGCATTGGTATCATGTTTTGACCTAAAAGAAAGCCAATGGGTAAAAACCTTAGAAATAACAGAAAGTCTGGCCATGTTGTGGGCCATTCATCAGCAAACCTCAAAGTTGGCCACAGCAGAATAAAAAATGTTAATGATTGTTGCCAAAAAGGTGACTCGTACTATGTCCAGTCCTTCCCAAATGTTACAGGATCATTAACAATCCTGCCCTGCACACGTCTACGTCCATATACTGTCTTTCTCACAGTAGCCAATAGGAATAGGACTTGTCATCTTCCTCTTTAAAAACAGGATTTTGTAGTTTAAAATGTCAAATGCCTTTTTAGGTAAGTTATGATTATACCTTCAAGAATGATATTTGAAGGAAATGAATAAACAGATTTGAAGTCTACCATACAACTTTGCAGGGGGAATGGTAGCCATGTTACCCTGCCTTTCACTAACATCCTTTATTTTCTTCTTATAGGGAAATCATGTGGCCATCAAGTACATCAAGAACCCCGTTACCATTGATGTTCACAAACCCTCAATTATCCAAGAGTTTAATTTGGTAAAGTTCCTCTTTTTTTTCTTTACAAAATCAACTTTTACATGTACTTTCTCATTCCTCATTTTGATGAATGTGTTTGTAATAAATCTAAAGACTTTCACATGCATCCTATTTTTACTTATTAAGACATGTAAGTGAAAAATTAAAGTAGTTTAAAGTCTGTTATCTTAAAGTCTAAATGTTGGTCTAGTCAGTAAGTTTGTGTGCCTAACCATCTTAAACTTTTAAGACAGATGAAAGAGATGAAACACGAGAACTTGGTGCAGTTCTTCGGTGCGTGCATCGAACCACCCAATGTCTGTTTAGTCACCCAGTACTGCAGGAAAGGCAGCCTGAAGGTCAGTGTTTCTACTGCACGAACACACATACTTTATAATCGTAAGTATCATGGTAGAACTGACAATTTAATACTTATTTACTTAATATTTAGTTTCCAAAAATAATAATAATAATATAGCTTTTGCAGTTTTAATTGTGGTTTTGTTAACCATTTTTTATGTATAAAAAAACATATGGCCATTTTAAAATGAAACTGTGTGTGTACTCTTTAATGTTCATTTTCTCTTTTCAGGATCTCATGACGGCTTCGGATGTTGGGCTGGATGGCATGTTTAAGCTATCCTTTGCTTATGACATCGTCAATGTGAGCCAAAGATGTTTAACATTTTATTTGTTTCCATTCTTAATCAGTCAATCTTTATCAATCTTTATTTGCATAGCACCAATCCAAATTCTCAAGACACTTAAAAAAAGGAGCAGGTCTAGACCTTACTATTTGTTATATTATTTACAAAGCCCCAATATTAAGCCACTGTGAGCTCGGCACTATGCAACAATTCCTTGACATTTGTTTTATGTGCGAGTTAAAAGGCATATCTTGATCAAATAGAACTCATTCCTAACAGTGGTAGCTGGATGCCAGGCTGATGCCATTAAGGACAGTTAAATATAGAAAAAGTATCGCTGGGGTGTTTAGGGCCAAGCACAGTAACTTCCGTCTTGTCTGAGTTAAGTCGCAAATGTCCTTAAGACATGCTTCTAGTTTACATAACTGGTTGGTGTGATCTGGCTTCATAGAAACGTATAATTGAATATCATCTGCATAACAATGACAATTTATGGAGTGTTTCCTCATAATACTACTTAGAGAAAGCTTACAGTCGGTGAAAGGTGAAAAGAATAGGTCCAAGCACTGAACCTTGAGGAACTCCATGGCTAATCTTGGTGAGACTTATCATTAAGATGTACAAACTGAGATGGATCTGATGATGATTATGATATGATTTAAACCAACTTAAAGCAGTTATGTAATGCAATTGTAAATCTTACTGTTCATATTTCAGTTAACTGTTCACCTTTATTTGATTGCTTATTTTACAGCACAAAGGCCAAGTTGATAGTTCAAACCCTTTTCACCAGAAATAAAATATTCATCTTGAAATTATTGGGATCAGTGTATAAAAAGGCCAACCATGTTTTGTTTTCTTTGAAAGTGCATACTGTATTGCCCTGGATTCTAAAATATTGCAATAAAAACACTAACAACTTAGCCATCTTTCAATGTTAGGGAATGGAGTTCATTCACAAGAGTAACCTGAAATTTCATGGGAATCTGAAGCTCAGTACATGCCTGGTGGACAGTCGACTCCAGATAAAACTCTCTGGCTTTGGACTATGGGAGTTTAAACATGGAAACAGACCTATCATGCCATTGGAAAACCCCAAATATCAAGGTCAGTCGGTGTTTAAAGGGATATCTTAAATGTGTTATCAACTACTGTATGTTTATTACAAGAATGACAGTGCATTTTAAATTTCATAGGGGGGTAATGAATGGGTTATGACCAAAATGCTGCCTTAGTTCCAGTATGTTCAATGTTGCTTCTCTGTACAGTCACCAATGAATATCTGTCCTATTTTGTATCAAAGTTTTAGATTGGCCTAACTAACATCTGGTCAGTTGGAAATCAAACTGAATGAGAGGGGCACCAGACAAATCTGCCAGTTCAGATTTTTCTGCTAGTATACAAGTATAACATTTGAGTAGATTTGAACCACACCCATCTTTGGTTACTATTTGTTTGTGTTGTAGAGATGTATTGGACAGCCCCTGAACTTCTGAGAAAAGGTGGTCTCCCAAACAATGGAACGCCTAAAGGTGATATCTACAGCTTTGCCATGATCATGTGGGGGCTCATGTACAACAAGCTTTTCCCTTATGAAGACAACAACCTGGAGCCAGAGGGTGAGCATCATCAAAACAAGGACATTCAATTTGTTTGCCTCCAATTCATTTCCTCAGAGCAAATTTTAGAAACACTGAAGCAGACTTAAAAATGGCCAGGGACCTGTCACAAGTTTTAAAAATTCAATTCCATTTCTTAGTAACATATTTTAAACCACACTAAAGTAACACAGCTGGAATTGAAATTAATAGTGAATCCAATTGAAGATATCAAGTAACATGACCATGAGTTGACTGCAGTTTGGAGCTTAAAGCTACTGTAGAATTCCTATGTTTAGTAAATTTGAAATAAAAAAATTAATTACATTGCTGTTTTCCATCATGTCGAACCTCGGATGCAGGAGGAACAATGTGTATTCCGTCCCGGCCGTGGGACAGTGGACCAGATCTTTACCCTCGCAAGGATTTTTGGGGGGGCATGGGAATCTGCCCATCCAGTCTACATGTGTTTTGTAGATTTGGAGAAGACTTTTGACCGTGTCCCTCGGGGGATCATGTGGGGGGTACTGCGGGAATATGGGGTCCCGGGCCATTGGTACAAGCCATCTGGTCCCTGTATGACCAAAGTGGGAGCTGTGTCCGCATCCTCGGCACAAAGTCAGACACGTTCCCAGTGCGTGTTGGCCTCCGCCAGGATGGCCCCTTGTCACCGGTTCTGTTTGTGATCTTCATGGAAAGGGTCTCAAGGAGCAGCCGGGGGGAAGAGGGTTTCCAGTTTGGGGACCTCAAAATCTTGTCTCTGCTTTTTGCAGATGACGTGGTTTTGTTGGCCTCCTCAAGCTGGGACCTCCAGCAGGCATTGGAGCGGTTTGCAGCCGAGTGCGAAGCGGCTGGGTTGAGGGTTAGGACCTCCTAATCCGAGGCCATGGTTCTCTGCCGGAAAACAGTGGATTGCTCTCTCCGGGTGGGGAGTGAGTCTTTGCCCCAGGTGAAGGAATTCAAGTATCTTGGGGTCTTGTTTACGAGTGAGGGTAGGATGGAGCGTGAGATTGACAGACGGATTGGCTCGGTGTCAGCAGTAAGGCAGGCGTTGTGCCAGACCGTTGTGGCAAAGAGGGAGCTGAGCCTTAAGGTAAAGCTCTCGATTTACCGGTCGATCCTCGTTTCAGCCCTCACCTATGGTCATGAGCTATGGGTAGTGACCTAGCCCTCACCTATGGCCATGAGCTATGGGCAGTGACCGAAAGATATCACGGATACAAGCGGCCGAAATGAGTTTCCCCCGGAAGGTGGCGGGGCTCAGCCTTAGAGATAGGGTGAGGGGGGAGCTCGGAGTAGAGCCGCTGCTCCATTGCATCAAAAGGAGCCAGTTGAGGTGGTTTGGGCATCTGTTAAGGATGCCTCCTGGACGCCTCCCTTTAGAGGTTTTCCAGGCACGCCCAACAGGGGGGAGACCCCTTGGCAGACCCAGAACATGCTGGAGGGATTATATATCCCGTCTAGCCTTGGAACGCCTCGTAATCCCCGAGGAGGAGCTGGAAAGTGTTGCTAGGGAGAGGGAAGTCTGGGCTGACTTACTGCGCCAGCTGCCACTGTGACCTGATTTCAGATAAGCAGAAGAACATGGATGGATGGATGGATGTTTTCCATCGTCATTGCTGCCACACTGGACCTCAGTGAAACACAGGGGATATCAATCCTATTCAGAGATAACAACAGGCTTTTCAACCTCAAGAGCAGATTCAGCAGTATTACCATCTGATGCTGAGGCACGCAGGTGCACTGGCCACCCGACCACATCGCTAGAGTCCAAAAACGAAAATTAACAAAAACATTTCCAACCAGAATCTCCAAATATGATAACTACAGTGATTGCTTCTTCTTGCTTCATTATTTTATCCAGAAATTATCATGAAGTTGCGGAGTCCTTTCCAAGGGGAACCTCTCCGACCACTGTTGTCTGATCAGCTGTGTGATGAGAACATCAACTCAATGCTGAGAGCCTGCTGGAATGAAAACGCTGACCACCGACCCCCATTTACATCTATAAGGAGACAGCTGAGGGGTATCAGCCCTGAAAGGTCAGGCCTCTGATAATCTATTTTCTTAACAACAATAGGCTCTTTCATGCTGTTTCTAACTGTTTTTATCATATTGTATTTGGGTCTACAGAAACATTATTTTGTTACAAAGCTTAATTTGACATACATACATGAGTATGCAAATAACAATCAGGTAGCATGTTGTCATAAAGTATAGAACCTTAAGGAATTGCACACCTTTTGCCAGGGCTGCAAAATCCTCTAAGGCAAGATTATTTTATGTTCCATGGCCAAAGCATTAAGATGTCCCATAATTTAACAGAAATCTCTGTCAGCATTTTGAGATATCCAACAAGCTAACAACCACACCTGACTGAAAACCTAACTTCCTCGATGGTAGGCTATCATGATTTTCTGTACTGTAGTCATGCAAATATACTGGATAATATGGTGGATAAGTTGGAGAAATATGCAAATCACTTGGAGGAGGTGGTGGAGGAGAGGACCAATCAGCTGACTGCAGAGAAGTCCCGTGCAGACAAGCTTCTATCCAGCATGTTACCAAGGTACCAAATGAAATTCCATCAAAATTATCAATATTAAATTTCCTCAACTGGCAATTTATGGTAACCCATTCAAATCTAATGACCCTGATGCAATCTGTTGAATGGGCTTCCATGACCACATCCCTGTCCTTTAGTCAGGAATGTTGCTTTCTTTACATAGGTACATCGCAGATCTGCTGATGGCAGGGAAATCAGTGGAGCCACAAAGCTACGAAATGGTGACCATCTTTTTCTCTGACATTGTGGGCTTCACCTCCATGTGCTCCATCAGCTCTGCTATGGAGGTTGTTACCTTCCTCAATGACCTTTACAGCCTATTTGACGACATCATCAAGATGTACGACGTCTACAAAGTGAGTTGTATACAAAACTAGGCAATCTCCTTTTCTTTTCTTTTTTTACTTCCCAAGCGTAAGATAAGATGTATACCGCTCTCATCCAATTTAATTCAATTCCATTATATTTGTATAGCACATTTCATACACACATAAACTCAATGTGCTTTACAGAGGAAGAAAATAAATAAACACAATACAAACTTATTTAAATTGAAAATAAAAAAAATATCCTGATGTCCTTGATGTGAATATCAGGCCACAGCCAGCAGCTGGTGTTGCACAAAAACTGAAACTGAAAGATTACAGTTAGCCAGGCTTCATCAGAAAGTAACAAAATATGTAAAGGGATATGATACGATATGATGCGATTCTACAAGACACGATACAATACAATATGGGAAGATAAAGTACTGCAAGACAAGATACAACAATTTACTGGCAATGGCAGAGGTATTGGTCTTGTAATGTAATTCTCTATCAGGAATCATTTTTGTATCATTCAACTACACGTATAACTTGTAATTTTTGTCATCTTTTTACAAGGTGGAAACAATTGGTGATGCCTATATGGTAGCCAGTGGTCTGCCCATCAGTAATGGCAATCAGCATGCTTTCGAGATATCCACAATGGCCCTGCATTTCCTGAAGGCCATCAAAGTCTTCAAAATTCACCACATGCCTTCAGAGAGTCTTGCAATCCGCATTGGGATACACTCAGGTAGGACAGAAGGATAAAAGCACTGCTAAACAAGTTCAGTGTTTTCTTCATGATGTATTTTGTTTGGTTGCTGAATTTTTTAATTTGGAAGGGACATGGAATGATATCAGTTGGCTAACAATTAGTATTTAGACTTAACAGGGTCCTAAAAAAGATGTTGGAAATGATTGACTTCTGAGGAGATTGGTACACTAACGTTCTGGATTTCTGTAGGTCCAGTGGTTGCCGGAGTGGTTGGCACCACTATGCCTCGCTACTGTCTCTTTGGTGACACGGTGAACACGGCCTCTCGAATGGAAAGTAACAGCTTACGTGAGTGAACTAAAACAATATATTTAAATAGACTTCCCATTCCAATCTCTTCTGATTTGACTTTAGGTTATTCTTCAAACCTTACGGATGGGACTTGAACTTTAGTGTAGTGCAAGCTCAAAAGAACGATTGTAATTGAGAGGGATGTCATTTTACCTTATGGGATGCCTTAACAGCTAGTGTGCAGCCAACTAGTGCCATGGTTGTAAGGTTGCCAGTATGTTGTTAAAGTCCAGCTTTTATGGTCTATATAAAAGCTAACTAAATGTAAGCTAGCATGCTGTTAGGACGAATTTTCATGAAATTCATTCATCTTGGTAACTTTGTGAAATGTGTTATTCAAGTCTGCCTACCACCTGTTAACAGTCCTACCTTTAGGTGTCTGAAGCTGTAACCTTATGAGTGAAGCACCTAAGGAGTAGCAGATCTATATATGGAGAGGCGCCAACTATATGTTGTTAACAACTGTTTGCTAGTCAGAGAGTCTACATCTGTTAGTATACAAATCAGTGTCATGTCATCTTCATTGTTTAAGGTGATGCACCCAAATAGAAAGGAATTTGTGGGTTGCACCTTTTTGACAGAATATAAGCAGCACTTTGAACACTGTTACTGTGTCAGCACTTTGTCAGCCAAGTGATTTGGAAGCATGCTTGTTTGATGAAGTTGTCTGACCTCGGCCGATTAAATGGTGTTATAATCTCCAGTCTGTTTCACGATTTCTTCATTGGATTTATATAAACAGAAACAATCCCCACCTAACACATGCTGACTTAAGTGCATGCATTCAATTAATAAAGCTGCTAGCTTGCCTCTTGTTAATGCTATTAATCAAATGTACGATCAAATCTCTGTCTTGGGACAAAACAAATCAAATTTAAAAATGTAACTGTCTGGTACTCCTCTGTGTATATTTCACACAGCCCTGAAGATTCACATCTCTCAGAGCACGGCTGACATTCTGGTGCAGGAGGGATCATTTGAACTGGAGGAGAGAGGGGAAATTGAAATGAAGGTGACACGAGTCTGCATGCAGTACAAAATTTATGGACAATGCATGGTTTGATATGTTTTTGATGAGTGTGTGTGTGTTTATTACAGGGTAAAGGGAGTCGTAAGACCTACTGGCTGACTAACAAACAAGGATTCAATCCTCCTCTCCCTATTCCCAACTCTCCAGCCACCAGTCTCAAACTACTCACTCAGGTACAGTAAAAACACAGCACAGCTTACTATTTACTTACTTACTTAGCACCATTAACAATTTTTTTGTGACACTTTGTCTAATCTGACTATGTTTGTGATTTCTCCGCTCCAGAAACTAGTAATGACCAGAGCAACAGAGAAAATGTTCAAGAGAAACGTCACCAAAATTCCCATGACAGATAGCATGATGACTACAGTGCACATCTAAAGAAAGAGAGGATAATCTGGAGGCCATTTTTTGAATAAATAAGATTACTACACAGGTGTCACATCATGCAGATGGACTTTCTCTCCTGCGTCTGTGTATAGAGATTGGAGAAAAAGTTGGAAAAGAGCTCGAAGTAAACATTTTGAACCAGGTTTAAAACATGAGATGTATCTTGCTAATGTCCAACTGGGGCGCGGACTTCTGCAGGGGTAGCCTGAAGTGTGACGTGCACAAAGTCAAACAAATATCAGTTTGCTTTTTTTTCCCCAAATCTTTTTATCATATTTTTGCAGACAGTACAACATGATGTCACATAGGAGTAAATCAGAGCATCTGCATAGAGTAAAACAAAAAGCCCCAATTAAACAGAAAAACAAGACAATAAAATAATAAACACCCATTTACAGTCCCAGCTTCTTAAGGTAGTTCTCCATTAGCGCCTGTGGTAACATAGATACTAATAGGACAATACATGTAGACACAGACACATAAATATATATAAAAAAATAAGAATAAGAATAAGAATAATAATTTAAAAAAAATATATATATATATATAAATACATACATATAAAATATCAGTTATTTACACTTTAATTTAAGTCCCTACTCTGACAGGGCAAACAGCCAATCACAGATTAGGCTCATGTCATCCCTGACTGCTCCTTTTGACACACCCCTGGTTAATCATCAAGCTAATAATTAGTTAATTAATTCATATACTTTTTGGTGGTATATATATATATAATATTTTCCACAAATATCAAAGAATATTTATATTTATAATTATAGATAAAATAAATCCTAATGTATTTGTAGATTTGTTTTAAATTAATTAAAGTTAAATTTACAAATTCTGTGGTGGAACATAGTACACTCATTAGAAGTACCTCAATATGCTGAGTAACTGAACACTTCTTTGCACCACTACTGCTCAGCTGGTCGGTTTGAAATCACACTTGATTGGGTAAATCAACGCTCCAGCATAAATATTATTTTATACACAAGTACTCAAATTATTTATCATATTTCACACAAATAGACAAGTTTGTTATAAGATATTTAAATGTATTTGCCAGGGGCGCCATGGCCGAGTGGTTAGTTTGCTCGCCCCATGTACAATGACTACAACCTTGAAGCAGGCGGCCCGGGTTCAAATCCAACCTGTGGCTCGTTTGCTGCATGTCATTCCACACACTCTCTCTCTCCCTGATTTCTGACTCTATCCACCGTCCCATCTCTCTAATAAAGGCATAAAAAGCTGAACAAAATCGATCTATATCTGTATACATTTGGCAGATTCTTTGATGCATTTTGTAACAGATTCAAGGTGCGGATGAGCTCATTTTAGTCCCTTTATCTTGGAGAGAAATAAACTCCAAAGGAATGTATGTAATTAATTTAAAACAATGGCATTTTTCACTTTGTTTTGATGCAACTTTATCAAACAAACAGATGATCACTGCGTCTTTTCACAACATGGCTGAAGGAGAGGAGGCAGAGGAGTCTCTATATACGACAGAAAATCTAACTGTGTCTCCCAGAACCGCATGCAATCAACATGGAAATGTCAATTAAGAAATGATATAAACATATAAAAGTATATCCATTTGATTCATGTGTGTGTGTGTGTGTGTGTTGTTTTCATGTGAAGAGTCTGTTTTTAATGTCCGTATTGAATACATTATTTATTTATATTAATAAAATGTTCCTGGTGGATTTTTTCAAGAAGTGAAAAAACTTTTCTTTTCCAAAAGATTTTTATTGGGAACAAAACTGAAAGTGAATAAACAGAAAATCCAAAGCGTCGATAGGTGTGTTAATTAACAGATTAAATGTGTAATAAAATGAGACAATCATGTCAGTGTGAGGGAGGAATGATTTCACACTCCCTGAGTCCTGGCTGACGCTCCCTCTGTTTGTTTTTATTGATTGTCTTCTATGTTTTTTAAAACTACATCTCAGATCTATTGACTAAATCACAGCAAGTGTTTATCAGGACCAGCAGCAGGATGAAGAGTGAAGTGCCTGTGATGAAAAAGAGAAATACATTATGGTTTCCTCAATAAATAAGTATACAGCATCAAACATCAATAACAGTCCAATCACACCTCACGTCTCATTACCTTTTATCGATCCATTGTTGGAGAATGAGTTACCTGTCGATCAATAAGATAAAGAAATCCAGATTCAAAACACCAACTTGTACAGTAATGACAAAAAGACTTTTAGCAATTGGAGGAAAATAAATCTAGTATCTCTCGAGGTTCAAATTGGTTACTTCAAATTTAAATCAAATATGCTATTTACAACAAGTTGTGTAGAAACTTGAAACTTACAGTGAGAATTTAAAGTGAACATCTTGAGCCAAATACATTTAAAATCAACTGTTTTTTCAAGTCACAGTTTGTGGATCTCTCAAAGTCAAACTCTCCTAATGTATAAAAGCTGTTTAAGTCGAGGACTAGAGAAAAGAAGAATTACATACTCACTGCTTATTTTGGTGACACCTATGCGTTTTTAGATCATGCCCTTACGTGGAAATTTATATGCAATGTAAAGCCAAGCGCTCACTAAAGTGCTAAGATCAGCCTGCTAAAAAAAACAAAGCAGGCCACAGGCAATTGCAATCAACCTCTTGCACTAAATTCATTGAGCGAACGCGAGGGGAGAGGGGTTGGAGGTGTGTCGTTGGAGGAGAGCGGAGGCTTCTGTATGGAGGCGGTGTGACCAAACAGCAGTTTGTTTTGGTTTCATGCTGGTGCTCAATGCCAACATCTACTGGATCAAAAAATCCAATATTCTTAATTTAAACTCAAAATATTCAAATGAAGGTGTACTGTACCTTTAAGCTGAAACTCAGCAGTAAGGATCCCTCCACTTGGTTCTGCCTCAGATGACGGACTTCTCACAGAGCACGGGCTCTACAAGGAAAGATAGGTAGAATCTGTTTACAAAAGGACATTTACTACTTTATACATAACATGAAGAATAACTGCTTTCTACGCTTTTGCACGAGTAGTGATACGTTTTGGGTAAACCAGCAACTGCAAACTCAACAGAGCTGACGTGGGGAAGCAGCCAAAGCAAGCTACATACTGCAAAGTGTTGCAGAGTGTGCAAGAAAAGTTTATGATGCTAAAGATAAAAGGGAAACTGCGTTGAGAGAAGAAGTGGTCGAAGGTGAAGACAAACACTGATAATTGTTCAGGAGGCTCAGCGCTGCAGGAGAAAACTAAAAATAGGCAGTAGTTGAAGGACAGAGTGTGGAGATAACGCACTCGGGCAGATTTGTTTATGTAGAAGGCTATTTACAGTATCCATAAGCCTTACTCCACCTTTAACAAATCTTTGTCTTTGATACTGTCAGTTTCTCTTGACTTATAGACATCATAAGGACTCTGCTTTTGTGTACTTACTCTCACAACCAGAAGAGGGAGACATACGTTCTGTACGGTTGGTTTAAATATGGGTAAAAAGCAGCAGAATATGGAAATCTTCATAGAGGGAAATGAAATCAAGTACAGCACCAGAGCAGAGGTAACAAGCTACCTAGCAACCCTCCACCACTGGAAAATATTTAAAAACAATAATTGGGTTTTAATCAGAGAAATGAATGAATATAAGGCGATTAGAGAACAGTGTTTGTACTCACAGGTATACAGTTGAGTCTCTCTCCATCACACACCGTGACCTCACAATGAAGCCAGACTGTAGAAACCTTCTCCAGACGTTGGAAGCGGAAAGAGTTGAACTTGAACATGGAGCGGCTGTCTTTGGCGTTCTCAAATATAGTCACAGTGGTGTCAGAGGGGCAGCTGTTCGAAAAAGAATAAAACCTGTTTTATCAACAAGTACGCAGGAGGGAATAATACCAACACACCAACAGGCTAACAAGCAGCGAGTCGGTCCGATCCATGGTGTGAAGTCCAACCCCTCAAAAACCCAAAGCCTGAGGTTGATCGCTCTGACTTTGAACAATATACAACGTCAGTTCAGTTCAAAACGTCTCTTATGAAGTTCAAGCCTGAAGGTTTTAACACTGTACCTGTTAAAGATGAGACTCCATCTCTTCTTGTCTGTAGAGTAAGGAGTGGGAGTGGCCCAGCAGTTGTTTATTACAACTTTAAATCTGAGGGGCACAGACGATCACAATGAACAGATTAAAATTCAAAGGAGTCAAGATGCTTTTTCAATTAACTTGTATACATTCATAGTCATTATTTCTTTATCCTTTTGTCTTTGGGTTTTTAAAGGTAGAGTCAGTAGCGTTGTTTGTTGCCGCTTGTTAATCACAACATTCAAACTGGGCCCCTCCTGGTTTAATCGCCACACTCACTGCAGGATGTAGTGTGTATGTTTACTGCTTTACCGACACTGCACAAGCTAACCACCGGTGTCCAGCACCTGTCTGTCCAACAGAGAGCAGGCCAACTCTGCGCCGACAGATGAAAGCCGACCGACGGTTCAGCCTTGTTTTGGAACGAGATTCAACCGCTCGGCCTTTTGCCTCATTGTGATTACATTTGATCTTGGGATCTTGGGTTTGAATCTCAACCAGAACAAAACAAAACATGTAAATTCAGGCAGAGTACAGGGTCTCTGCAGATACAGTCACCACCACTTAGTATGGAGGCCCAGAAGTGATGAATTTATTTTCTAGGAAAACGCTACTGACTGTACCTTTAATAGTATAACTGACATACACTTGAATGCCATTTTAATATGACCCCAGGGTTAGTGGCTGTCAAGGATTGTTAAGGTCCGATACATTTTTCTTTTTAAATCAATAACTATAAGCTTATATAAAAAAATATGTAGAAAAATATTGAAATTTGTTAATATACCTGTTACTTAGTCCTTTTGCCTCGATGCCCATGAAAACTTCAGAGCCGATCTCAGACGTGTCGATCACGTAGGGAGCGTCCCTGGCATACAGGAACTTTGAATTCTACAAAACGTGTACATATGTACAAATGTTTGCATTTCTTTATCCGACCAGGGATGACACTATTTGAATCTAATGGCTCCGAGAAGTACATAAAATAACTTTGAACTATGATGATTTCAGACGGTTATTCTGGACAGAATGTTTCAAATTATAATCCAAAAACAATTGCATTAAATGTGTTGCAACAGGCATCCTCTGGTGAAACTGAGTGTTTGAGTGTCTTCTTACCGTGAACACACTCATAGACAACTGAGATCTAAAAGTGCCTAAACTCCCGTTGTTGACATAAACTGTAGCCACTCTGGAAAAAGCAGAGGGTTTAGTAAAAACGCTGCAAGTCTTTGGGTCAGAATGCACAGATTTTCCACTCAGTGACTGTGGACGCCTCGTGTCCCCGATGGATGCTTACCTTTGGCTGAAGACGGCGTTGTTCACCAGGTAAGCTGCTCGGTAAATGCAGCTGAAGGTGTAGTTCACCGGCTGGTTTCTGACTGTGAGTGAAGTATCGTTGGACACAATGGAGTTATAGAAGATGTATCTGGGGTCTTTGCCGGGTATGTACTGTCGAGAACAACAAAGACCAAAATAGAAAATATTTGATTATGACTATCAGTTAGTGTTAAAAGCACTTTTACTCAGTCTTGTCTTGAACTTGGCGGACTCAAACAACGTATAACTTTCATTATAATTGTATTTTTTTCAACTCGATTATGGCCGCACCCTTCCCCATTGTTCCGGTCTTAATGAGTGACACGACCCCCGTACACAAGATGATGATTCTCATTGATATTTATGGTCTTGTCTCTGTCTCGCCATGCCTTGGTTTGGTCTTGTCTTGGTCTCCTTTCCTTAAATGTCTTGGTCTTGTCTCAGTTTTGCCCTGCCTTGGTTTGTCTTGTCTCAGTTTTGCCCTGCCTTAGTTTGGTCTTGTATTGGTCTCTGAGCACTCTGGTCCTGGTTATGTTTTGGTCTTGGTTAATGTGGCCTTGAACACAACACTACTTTAAATACAAAAACTATTGCTTTTTTGCCTTTATTGGAAAGGACAGCTGAAGAGAGACAGGAAATGTTTGAGTGGTGGATGACATGCAGCAAAGAGCTGAGGTCGGGTTTGAACTCACAACCGCTGCCATGAGGACAATAGCCCCCATACATGGGGCGCGCAGTGGAACCGCTACACTATCTGGCCAAGAACGGTACAACACTGTTCTCAGAAAATTCCTGATTTCACAGAGATAGTTAAATTTGATATGCAAGCAACCTCAGGAAAACTTAAAATTTCTAAATGCAGAAAAGTATCAACTGCAGCTTTTATATGATCTACTACATCAAAGGTTTATTTCTATTACTTATTTGTTTATGCCAGAAGGCATTCAGTTGGTTCACTTGTTTCTAATATTTTTGTCATTATGACTTTTTGTGGATGATTTTCTCTGTTGGTGTGATGCTCGCTTTGTAAAACATTTTAGAAGAAAGATGATTTGTGTTGTTTCTTATATGCTTTGAGGTGTGCACTGATACATGAAGGCACAGTATGGGGACTTCAGTCATTGATCTCAATTATGTTTGGGAAGGTTGTTTTTAAGTCAAGACATAAAAAAAAACTACCTCTGGCATTCATTTTCTTCCTCCTCATTGCCTCACCTCAGACAGAGTGCCGCAGTACGAGTGGTTTTTAGGAGTCAGGTCTGAGATGACGAAGCGGAAGTAGCCCGGGCTGCGTATCCCAGAGTAACAGACCCCACCCAGAGACAGCTGATCAATCTCCCAGCCGTACGGACACTCGGGGACATTTGCGATGATGGCGTTGGGGAAACATGACACCATTACATAGTCTGAAATAATAAGATGCAATCAAAGATTAAAAAATGTTTCCTTCTTTCTGAATCAAAGGTCCAAGAAAAGATGGTGATGTTTGTTTTACAGACTGTCAAGGTCCATTGAAGAAACTTGTAATATTGGAAAAGTTAATTATGTAAAAGATAAAAGGTGTTGATGTTACCTGCTTTTTGGGGCGAGCATGTCCATGCAACAGGCAGAAACAATAATATAGCACCAACTGAAGCCATACTGTGAGGCTGCAGAGACAAATGTAAGAATTCAACCAAAACAGAAAACACCTTTGGACATCCATTTCATAAGACAGGTGTGTAGGAGAGCATTGTGTCCATCCAAACTTTAAGGTAAACTCCTGCCCATTGTCTTACTTGCAAAACAAACATTTATTGGCAATGTTGCGGTACTAGACTGACTGGACTGTTGGCCTGAAAGTGCTGGAGTTTACCTTCAAGAATTCAACCGTAGCAATGAGAAAACATTCAAGGACAAGATGTCATGATGATAAGGTTTCATTAAAAAAAGACTCACCTGTAAGGGAACAAACACCTTCCAATGGTCTGATGTCAAATGATCTTCATGGCTCTTCAACCGGTTACCTGCACCGTGGTTTTACGACAAACATCTTGACAACTTGTGGAGGTATTTTATACTGTCATAGGTGTAGGTTATCGACTCCCCCCCCTCCCCTGATTCTTCTTACCCAACTTTTCCCCCCTGGCAGGTTTGTTTAAAAGCTCTATTGTGGAGCAGTTAACAAAAGCTCTCTGTGCTGCTCGGACATTGACTTTCAAATGATCCAACATCTCACGGGATTAACACTCAAGGGTGCTTCAGTCACCTTTTCTAGCGATGGACAGTCAGGAAATTTGTCAGATTTCTTCAGCTGACAGCGGACATTTTAGGGCTAATGAAGGGTGCTCTCTGGCTTCATGTAGATTTAGCGTCAACAATATTGCAGAGTAACGAAAGACAGAAGTTTCCACTATTTAAAGTGCAATATTGAGTATATAGTGTTCTGAATTATTTAAGCATATTCTAAAAAAATATGATTTAAGTTTTATCAAACAATACCTAAAATGATTCAAAATCTGAGAAGTTTAATTTATGCCTCACCAATATAAAAATAATTCACAGTTGCTATGATCCTAGACGTTGGCTCAGTAGCCTTTTTTATTCACAGTTGATTGGAGATTTGGCGGAAAATCTCGTATTTACTGTCTAAAGAAAAGGGTCAAATATTAACCTATAGTCACACAGACTGTTGGCATAGCTTAGCATAAAGACTGGAAACAGAGGGAAACATTAAGTCACCCTGTATGAAGAAAACTGTGACCTACAGGAATGATAATTAAGGCAACAGTCAAGTGTCAAAAACTGCAGTTCCTCAAACAGCCATATGGGGCTATCTCCAAAAGTGAGTCGAACTCTGTATACCGACATGTTTAAGTATCCACCTTTAGAGCAGAAATACTAACCTATACTTGGTCACTAGAGCTGATTTCCCAATTTATGACATCAGTAGCAGGTGGCCATCCTGTTGTCCAAAAATAGTCACTTCTGGCTCCTAAAATTAAGTTGGAAAAAGCCATGATGGAAAGCTTGAGGTTTTAAAACTGCTTACCAGAAACTAATGGCTGATATTAGAGTGGGCACGTCAACTAAGGTCTATGGTCCCAAGTTAAGACATTTGAATTCCATTATGTGTAAAGCTTGCGTGATAACACTTTACTTTTGGTTGGTTCAATCCATGAAAAAGAAATGTCTTAAAACAACAATGTAAGGTTTTATCAGAAGTTATGTACTGGACAATTTATGGCATTGAGCACTAACTTCCTTTTCAATCTTGTAACCTGCTCATAATTTGTGGGCTGTTAAGTTGCTGTCAGCTGTTCCTTTAGCTACTGGAAGAAGCCTGGTTGCCTCTTTACCGTCTTTACGGTCTCTATGCTATGCTAAGCTAATAGATGAATATACAAGTTGTATTGGCTTTTGCATTTTAACCCTCTTGCAGAAATTTGGAATTCCCTTAAAATCACCTAATGCATCCTATCAGAAAATGATATCCCTTTTGCACACATGTAACTTTGATTTCAATAAAGTCAAAGCCAAATTTCTGAGGACGGAAACTTTCCCTGTTCTTTGTCTTTTGTCCTGTTGACTAAAGAGGACAAATTCTTTGGAAAAGAATACTGTTTAAGGATCTAAATAGTGCAAACAGACATGTATAGATAGCTTCAAAATGTGATTGCAGCTCAGATTAGTCCAGCATACACTGGTAACTAGTGTTCTTGAGCAGACATGAGAGGCCTGTGTTTTACCTCATTCAGTAATATAAGGTTTCTCACAGTCTTGTGCTTTTAGACATCACTTTTGTCCCATCAGCCTTTCAGCTATGAGTGACATTTGAGTTCTTTCTGGACGAAACAATATAATTTGTTTTTGATATAATACTGCCAAGAGTCTCTGAAGCTTTAGTTTCTTTTTTAATAATGGATGTTATATTTATATTTTGTATTCTCTATTATAAGGTAATAATGAGCTAGAAAGAAGGACAGGGCAAAAAACATGTCAGTATCATCAAAGGTGGATATGCTGCCAATGCAACAATTAAGTTTGAAATCGTCGCTTCTTTAAACTTGCGATCAGAAACCTCCGAGACTAAATGAAGAGAGCTGTAAAATGATACCAGAGAGGTTAGACACTAATGTCCTCCATGGAACAATTCAAGTCACCCATCAATTGAAGGGGCAAGCTGCAGACGATTAGCATCTGAATGGAGCTGCGGGGGAATTTGTAAGGGTTAGTCCAAGGAAGATACCGATCTAGGAACGAGTCAGGGGACAGCTAACGTTACAGCATCTGGTGAGGCTAACAATGAGGAGCCGCAAGATTCCAACATGTTAGGTAATGACGTTCTGCGGTCCAAGAAACGTGCTCAGAGGAGGACAGCATGTGTCTGTATGGTAAACCTTGAACCTCAGGACCCACCACCAACTCCTTAATGCGAAAACGCAACACACATTTCTGAAAGTTTTCAATCTATCAGATTTATTAAAATGAGTAATAGTCCATTTTGGATCGTACAAAAACAGTATAACACATGTGACAGAGAGAAGAGACTGAAAACAACAAACATGTTTAACTTTTAGCAAAGTAGAAGGAAATGTTTGGGCTTCAGCCACTCCACAAATGGAGGTCGGTGCTCTCAAAGAAGATCTAAGAAGTTCGAAAAAGAAGTGGATACCTTCTTTAAGAAAGGAACCAAAGAAAATACTGGAGCACACAAATCACTTAAGGCAGATTTAATGAAGGTACAAAGGACTAACGTTTCAACGCCTTACTGCATGTCTGTCAGTCAGCATTAGGAGGTTACTTTTATATTATAACAAAGTAACTCTGTTTTATTTTCATCCACAACCAAAACTTGGATTGTAAAAGTAGACAGAGAAAAGGTCACGTCCAAACAAATGCTCATTTGTGTTTAAACTGTGTAAAATCCTGACACGCTTGTGCAACATTTCCTGACATGTTCTCCACAAGAGAGCAGCAAAACCTTCTTCTTCTGTACACCTTTCTCTGTAACATGCTTTCATCATTGATTAGGGATCACCTTGACAGAGTGGTTTGCATTCAGAACATTTTTATTTTCATCCAACAAAGAGACATACATAGACATAATCACAGATCACTAAATGCGTCATATAGAGATACTGCACGAGACACAAAGAAATCCCTGAGCCCACCTACACAATAGTGCTTTTGTTAAAATGTACAAAGTGAAAAAAATAACAAAAAACAGGGCGTCTATAAAACTCTTCAAATAACATGTAATATAACATTTTTGGAAATACATATGTTTTTATGTACAATCATATACAACATATTTACAATAAATAACAACATTGTTGAGGCGGGCGTCACTGTTTGGGCACTTGGCAGGTCCAGTTTGGCTCTTCTGGCTGGTAAATAAAATCTCTCCTGAAAGACAAAAACATGCGGTGAGGTCGTGTAGACATGCCATTTATCACACTTACTTAACCTCCCTTACTTAAAATTTTACACAGATTGGTTGCTTGTTTGTTATTACTTACTCTCTGAGGTGTGGTGCACTGTTTCCACGACACAGCAGCCCTTCATCACAAGGACAAATCTGGTTTATGCTGAACGCCAGGCCGCCATCAGGAACATAGCAGCTCTCGCCACGGAGCAGGCGTCTTTTGCACACCTGTTCGCCATGGTGACGAGCGCAGCACATGGACGCACCACAATCTCTGTCAACTTTACATCTGGCACCTGGATGAAAAAAAAAAACACTGGTTGTTAAAATCCGGTTGCGACAAATTCCAAATATGAGACTTTGTTTTGGTATACTTAAAGGACTTTGTCGTTTGACTACTTTGTTTACGTCTTACCCTCTTGGCCGTTGGGGATGCTGCGGTGGCACTTTCCAAACATGCAGCTGAGTCCGCGGACACACTGGGCGTCCCTCCGACAGTAGTGGCCCTCCCCTCGCAGAGGAACGCAGAGACCAAAGTGTCGATCGCAGGAGAAGCCCCGCCCACAGGCCCTGTCCTGATCGCATACAGCCTGGAAACAAACGAGGGGAAATTGTTAAAAACCCGACAAACACTCATGTCACTCAAGTAAAGCACAAGTTGTTAAGCACAACTTAACATATTCTACGTATCACTACTGGAATTTCCTGAGCATGAAAGTAATATTCATCTGCACAAACAGATTGTTTAGACATTAAATAAAGGTGTTAACTATTAAAAAACTTGCATGCCTAGAATCCAGTAGTAACTTACCGTGATTGGTTTGGTTGCAGAAATGTTTTCTCGAAGTGCCTTTGCTCCTTCTTTGGGAGGGCTGTGTGGCATGTTGAGCATCCAGGCCCAAATACGAGCTTCGGCCCAAGAGAAGCAGAGAAAGAGGCAGAGCATCCACAGGTTCCACGACATTTCCACCAACCGCGAGAAAAGAAACAAATCGATAAAAACAAGACGGAGTGACGGTGTTGAACTCAAAGACAAGGCGACTGGAAACAGAAGAAAAAGAGGAGCCACTTTTCTTGTCTTTTAAGGTCCCCAGAAAAAGTTGTACAGTAGCGTCAGGACAGCAGTGATCCATGCAGTGACAGTGGCAGCCTCTTCTCCCAGCGTGGCTTTTATAGGTCACAGGGGTTTTATCCCCCCCAAACCTGACTGTTTGTCCAAGCAACAGGGTAGGAGGAGACAATTAGTTGTTAATGGATTAACTAAATTGCTCGGGTAGCCCCCTGCAGACAGAATATAGTGGCAAAATGACCAGTCATGGAGCAGGGAGAAAGCAGGGAAAGAGGGGGAGATGGGGCGGGGAGGGGTAGGGGAGGGGAGGGGATTGATGGACGTGATGGCTGACAACAGCTTCTCACAATAGAGCCGAGACAAGCACCACCTCTGTGTGGTTATCTCTGCCAGACTAACAAATGAGGAGGACAAAGGCAGACAAATGCATGACATGTTTTCTCCACTAAATGAGTGACACTCCTGGCCCCCGAACACTGGGCAAACACCGACCTCGACTGCCCTGTTGGCCCCTACCCTATCCCACTTCAGACCCCATGCTGAGAGCAATTTGCAGAAGTGCACCCTGCAGACGACCCCATGATCTCATTAAATGTAATTACCATCAGCCATTAGTTCTCAAGGGGAGACGGGGGAGTGAGTGCAGGCAGAGAAAATACTTGAGGAATACAATGAGATTGTTTTTGCATGTTTTTCTCACAATTTTTGGTTGTTTTCGTTACTTACCAGATTTATAAACCACTGCCATATAACAAGAGGGATATTCAAACTTAACGACTTAAGGTCAAGTCATTTTGCAAAGTTTGGAAAAACGTTATTGGCACAGCAAAAAAAATAAACATTTCTGTGGTTAGATATCATACTTTTAAGAAAAATAGAGAAATTTATCTGGCAGTAACATATCTGGGTTTTATCCTCAAGGAGTTTCTTTTATCATGGCCTAAGTTTGCCTGAAATGTTTATCGTTGGTAATAATAAGTAGTTGTAATCACTGGCATCCTTCTCAGCTTTGTTTGGATATGAAAATTTAATTTAGAAGAAGAAACATTTGGAACCAGGAAGAGTATAAAATGGTTCTGGCATATTTTGGTAAAAAAAAAAACCTTTAGTTTTAAGGCTTAGAAAATGAAACACAGGTAACCAAAAGAACCAAGGGCACCACGGAGCATCCCTCCTGAACTGTCAAAATTAAGAGTCAATCAGAGTGGATGCCAACAGTGTAGCTTGTTATATAACTATAACCATGGTAACTTCATTGCCAATTATGTCTGGAGCAGAGAGCCTCGCAGGAGCTGACACACTGGAGTGGCCCTGCCCTGTTTTTATCCCGTTTGGTTTCACCCTTCTCAAGTTCAATCACAGTTGGATTTGTGTAGAACCGGTGTGTTAACGTTTACACCCTGCCCTATTGTGGTTCTTGCATTACTCTGAACAATGGCATCAGTTTTACAAAAGTAAAACCGATACTCTGATACACAAAGAAAAACTCCAGTCTGGACATGGTATTGAGTCTATTTGGAAGACATTGTTCACCCTGCGTGCATTTATGTTACTTTCCAGCCATCTGAGATATTTCAGATACATCCAGGTACATGATGATTGTTATTAACACAGAAACAGCCATGATGACTGATGAGCCCTCAACCACCAATAGTCTCTGCAATGGTGTCAACTCTAGACAAAACCAAACTGAGTATTTTAAGTAGGTAAGACAGTGTATGACATGGATGATGCCTTGTTTTTGGCTTAATGTCTGAAAGGGCAACTGGGGGTAGTGTCAGGAGTTTTTTTGAGAAAAGAGCTCAGGGCTCTATAAGTTTGATCATTTGTATCATTCAGGTGGGCTCACTGGCCTTCATAGACCTGGTGCCATACTGGTTAATCACACTGGAGTAACACTTAGTCCAATGATATCTAAGGCTAAGACTCTCCAATTTAGAGCAACTATATTTTCAGTGACGATAACTTCTTTGTTAACTCAACCAGAATACCTTCACCAACCATTAGCGTCCACTTTCTGAAATCAACATTCAGTATCTTCACTCCGACTAAGATGCCTGAATGATAGTAGTTTACATTTTCTCTGTGGCAGACGGCACAGATTGGTAACGTAGATATCTCAGGTAGTTAAGTCCTTATCAAAACAGGCTAACACAGACTAATGACGTAATTGGCGGTCAATTAGTGGGCACAATGGCAGAAGGTGGATCAATTAGCAACATGCAGATAAGGCCTGTAACATGATTATGCAACCATGTGAAAACCATTTGAGGAAGTGAGGAATTCAGTACAGAATCAGAAAAAAAAAAACAAGAAGTTGTGAAACTGCATCTGTGTCAGCTGTATCTTGTCTGAGTCCGACTCAGTGTGAGTGTGTTTCAATGTTTGAAGACCCTTTAGCAGTTAGACTGGGAATAATTCAGTCTCTGTTTTGAAACTTCTGAGTTTTTAAAATGTATAAAATATCATCCCTTCCAAATAAGGTGCTTCCCGATTCTTGCAGTATGAGATCGACAACTACAGGCTAAACTTTGTTGCACACTGCTCCAATCATGTATTCTTGTTCTATGTCCATTCTTACTGCAAGATATCCCGCCTCTTATTCACCAAAGCCAACAGCAGATAACTGTCTCCAAACACTCCTTAACGTGCTCCCCCGGTGTTAATGACTCTGCTAATGACGCTCGTAATGAATGCGCTCACTGTCACAATCAACATTGCTGAGGGTCTTGTAATTAGGGGCTAACAAAAACAACGGGCAGGGTGATGTTTGGCCATTGTAATGGACCTTGACCCCCCGAAGGGAGCTCTGAATGAATGGTGGAGGACCCGAGGAGTCCGCCTTCCAACCGCCAGAAAAACACGGCAACTCAGTGCAGGGATGGCTGGACGAGCCAACAAGGTGATTGTGTATTCAGAGTTCTGCAGAATAATGAGGTACATTCTTCAGGATTAATATGAAATGTTTAGTTTTGCTCTGCTAGAAAAACAGAGCCTGTTGTTTTTGTGAGACAGAACACAACTGAATATTTAGGAAAGTAGTTAAGATGATTGAAGTATTTGCTCTTGTGTTGCTTGCAGGCACCTTTCACTGAGAGAAATGAACAGATGTTGAACGTGGGAAAAACTTTTTTTCAAGTTTGTCTGGCAAGATATTTGAGATACAGACTGTTTCAAACTTGACTTAAATTTAGATGCTCATATTTAGTTGTTGACGTGAAAATAGGTTAAGAGCACGGAAGGGCCATTGTTCTCCATTCTAGCTTTAAAGGGGGTAGAGGCAGCACCAATTTTTGCAACATAGCAATAATGCACCCAAAGCTAGGGTTGTAACTTCTCTTACCCCCAATTATAGCTCACTGGTTATGTCTTGTTCAGAAACAAAGGCCGCCAAACACCTTATTGCAGCAGACACCTTAGCTGGTGAAAATATGGAAATGTTTAGTATCCAGATATTTTGTTCAGATGTTATTTGGGATGGAGCAAAAAAGAGAACAACAATTGGTTGGCCGGAAACTGCACTCAAGAGGAGTGCTTCTGTTTTGTTGCTTTCACACATCAGCAACACTCCTGAAAACCTCCTTAAATTCAGGGTGAGCTGCATGTGTGAACAAAAACAGCCACATTTTTCAGTCCGACTTTACACAGAAGTTTAGTCAATTTCCCATGAAGTCGGGGTTAGCCCATGTGAGAACACAGCAGGAAATATTCAGAAGAATTCACCATGAGCAAGTGGGAGGAGGTGATGACATTTTTATTCGGGGACCGGACCAAAACCATAAACTGTTAACTGCACAATGAGTGTGGTCTCCATGCACATAATGAAACTGCTTCATTATGTGTTCTTTCGGCCAGTAAGTTCTACTCTTCTCTACTGCGGATATTGTGAGAATGTCAAATGACACATATCGTTGATATTAATGCCAAAAACTGTCATCATAGCCACAAGCTCTGTTGCTACACCCATCACTTCCCCATCTTTCTTTTGTCTTGCCTCATGAGCCCCCCTCGGCAGAGATACTCTCCCACAGTGAGGAACATGTGTGAAACGTGTGAAAAAGTAACAAAATAAGATGTCAGGGGCTAAATACCGAGAGTTTTCTTTACATTTTCCGGAGTGCATATGTTAAAATCGTTTTATTTAGGTATGAAGCCAAGCTGGCAGCTCTATGGAAGTGTAATTGACATATTGAGGTTGACGTCCTAATTGACCCCCCAGCTGTTTCGGAAAAGTGTATGAAAATGGCAACCATTAACATGAACAAATATAATGTTAACATGCTGTTTCCCCATTTTAATCATGTTCAAATTTGTTACTTCACAACTCAAAGTACAGCTGTGGCTGGTGGCAGAGGTTTAAGTTTTGCAAATATTTAGAAATTATCAGTTTTGAAATGGGAATATGAATTCCTCCACTGCACTTCCTGCCAATCCCACCATTAGTTATCCAAACACTTTGGACTTAAGTGGTCCAACATGAGAGCTACTCAGTGTTTTTGTTTTTCTGGCTACAGTTCTGTAAGGTCTACTGACAACCACATCAGAAGCTGAAAGGGTTTATAGTTGGTTTTGAATGGTTCACACGGACGAGCTACCAAAGAGAGGAGGGGTACACACATCGTTTAGTTAAGGTATGAATGCAGATGTGTTCAGGCTTTCCCTGATGACATTGAACAAGTTGCATCAAAGTAAAGTAGAAACCACAAAGTTCAAACATTCTGACCTCTTCTTCGCTGACAAATCAAAGTGTTTAAAGTGCGTGTGAATGTCACATCGTAATGTTGGGAAGTCGGTTGAAAAGTGGAAAATTAGAGGGATGATTCACAACAAAGGTAGTAACATTTACACCGTGTATCCAGCCCAAACATTCACCAAGAAACAACTACACACAATGGCCTGTCCCATTCCAATAACACTGAAAGCCCCTGCCTGACCGAAAGCCAACTCCACATCTGTCCTAAAATTATTATTAGGCACAGTGGCAGAAATCATTTAAGGACAGCTTGACAAAAACTTGGTGTGCTTAAAATAATAATGA